GCTTTGTCTACATGCTAGCCATTATGGGGATCATGGGAGCATGAATTTAGGAGTGACTGTCCCACACGAATTCAGGAGAGTTCATAGTGCTTGACTAGCAGGTGACATTTCGGGCTATAAGCATGTCTCTGTTGCAGATTTGGGTGCTTAGGTGGAATCTTACAAATGTCTTAAACTCCTTTAAAAATGAGATAATCAGTGAAAGGCATTTAGTCAGGATGCATCATCAGTGCATGTCTCAATATAGTTACTTCTAACACCTATTCCATCATTTTTCCCACCGTCTCTTGCATGTTGATTTAAAAAAAAAAAAATCTTTAGTCAAAAGACTGCCAGAGCAGCTTACAAAAAGAATCAGCAATTAAGACAGTCCCTATCTCCAGGCTCATAATCCAAAATTTGGGGGATAAAATCACGACCCATGTTTGAGGCTAAAGAAAGTATTCAAATCTTTGCTAATGATTGTAAGCTTGGAAGCAGGTGGCAGGTAATGATCTTGGATCAACACTGCATTGGCCACAAGGTTTTGCTCTTGTGCATATGGTACGTCTGTCTCTTCCCAGACGGGGAGTGGTGGTAGCAGAATGCAGAGCCTCCATCACTGTCTAAACATGCCGGCAAAGCAGCAACCTGTGCATCTAGAGCAGCCAAATTTGGTTTGTAGGGGTTTGGCTACTATCGGTGGAGAGGAGATTGCCTTTGAGAACAATATCCCCTTCAGAAACTCTCAGCTTGCCCATGGGGAGGGGCCTTTCACCTGCTCCTTAGTGTCACCCTTTGAGAAACCCAGGCAAAATAGCAGCCAACTCTTCTGGACAAAGCTCTATATCCCAACCAACAAATTATTTCCACTGATATCCAGACCTGAGGCAGAGTGCGATTTACCTTCCCCTTGTGAAAGAATAAGCTCAGATCTTTATTCCATGGCTAGGGAACAACCAGGAAGGAGGAGCTTGTGTTGATTTTTAATCAAGGTCAGTTGTGAGTTAGGGCACCTCAGAATTGGAGAGTGCTTTAAGAGCAAAAAATGCATCCAGAATATGGCACTCCTCTGCCCTAGCCTGATGGACTGTTGGGCTGAGGGAAGCGTGGCCAGTGTGTAGGTTTCCCGAAGTGGCTGCTCTGAGGTGGTGCCATGTTGCCTGGAAGGGTGGGAGACACATGGTTCAGCTGGAGGACACATGCTCTGGCCTGAGAAGGCCCCAAGTTCCGCCCCCAGCATCTCCAGTAGGGATGGGGAAGACCCCGCCTGAAGCCCGTGGAGAGCCACAGCCAGTCCACATGGATGATGCTGAGCAAGAGGCAATGACTGGACTGACTGGATGGGCTCCCCGTGTTCTCCTTCCCGTGACTGGCCAGGTGTCGGAAAGTGGGGCAGAAGGAAGCCAAGAGGCTAAGTTGGTTGTGATGGCGCTGGATGGCAGTGTTCCTCAGGTTGCAGCAAACCAGTCTCTGTGCCTCGGGTGACAAAAAAGCTGATACGAAGGGAAGCGAAGGTTTTTACGAGTGACAGTTGTGGAGAATTTAGTGTGGGGGTTGAGCGCACCCCCAAAATCAGGTGTGAGAGCATAAACCTATTAGAGTTGCAGTTCTAGGATTTCTGGGTGCCATGTCTTCCAAAGGGGCAAGTACTGCACGATCGGAACACCGAGGTGGCAGTGACATCCCGGGTGGTCAGTCCACATGGCGCCTTGTCTCGCTGCCTGGGCGTCAGCCATTTTTGCTTTTTGACGATGGCGTGCGGGCCCTGGGCGCTCGGACTAGCCCTGTTGCCTTTGTGTAGCAATGTGCTCAGTCTCCAAGAGTCCTGGCATTGTGTCACAGTCTCGTAGGTGTGCATGGGTATTTGCTGCGCACGCCTCTGTAAGGTGTGCGACACTGCAATATGGTGTACGCGTACGGGCTAGTGTGGTGCCCTTCGTGCTTTCTCTTTGTCATCTCGTCCCCGTCCTCTTCCTGCATTTTGCGCATGAATGGAGTTTTACCTGTGCGCGTCTGTGTGGCACTGTAATTTATCGGCCGCTCTGCATTACTCAGCGGCTGAGGTGTACGGCCGCACTGCTTTTTGTCTGCATCCATGCGTTGTGCACTTGCATCTCGCTGCAAATCACCGTGCGAGGCTTCGCGCTGGGTGTCTGCGTGCAGTGCTTTTGCCTGGTGATCCTCAGGCACATGTGTGTGTTTGTGAGTCTGCACTGTCGGCCATGTGTATCAGGTGCTAGACTGATTCTCCCGGGACTCTGCCCCAGCCCCGCCTGGTAGTGTCTGTGTCTCAGCCTCTTTCCCCCTCCCCAAGATCCCCCTTCAGGGGTCAGGGAGTGCCAGCGAGACAGTCTGCCGCCATGGCAACAAGGCCTAACACAGGCTTCAGCCTGACAGTTTTGCTCCCCCTTAACCCTTCCAGGCCCAGCCCTTGCAGCCCCCCCCCCCACCCACCCACCCACCATCCAGCCTAGCATTGAGTACTCTTGTCCAGCAACTTTGCTATAGCTCTTCCACCCCAGCCCTCTTTATATCCCCTGCAACACAGGGATCTCCTTCTCTATTAGTTCTGTCAAAATCCCTCATTGTAACATCAAAGCTGCATAGCTGTTCCAGCCCCAGACCACCATTGTATGGCTTTATAATGCTCCCATATCTTGAGCATCGGCACGCCAGCTGCTGTGATGCTAACGTTTCCCCTTCTCCGGAAGAGCTCGTTCTTTTGTGTCTTAAGTTAGGCCTAAAAGATTCCAGTTTCCCACCATGCTTTTCAGAGGATGTTGAAAAAGGGTTTAAAAAGCACTTTATTCTGGTAAGGAATATAATCTAAATTGTGAGGTATTCATGAGGACTAGAAACATATTTTTTGAACTGTACTTGTTTTCACTTATGCTACCTTTAAATGTGGATGGAGTTTGTACCTTTAACAGAATATATTTCACTGGATGCCAGAATACCAGATTATTAGTTTAACCACCACCACCACCACCACCACCACCACCCGTTTTTGGCTTCTAGATTTGCTATAACAACTTTTCTATTATATAATATTTTTGAAATTCTCCAAACCATTCTATTGGGAAATTTGATTTGTGTAATACAGTGACAAATGTAATGGATTTGTGGGAGTTAAATGTAAAAACATACATTTTTATGTGGGAGTTAAATGTAAAAACATACATTTTTTAAGTGAAGGGGGAAATGGATATTTTGAAATAATGATTTTCATTATTTTATGGTTGAGCCAGGTATCATACCTCATGGAAAGTTACTTCTTTCCCAGTATAAAGCAAGTGTGCTCTCACTCCACCCCCCTTTTAAAGTGTACCTATTTTTATGCTAACAAATGTTGGATGTCATGTAGAAGCCACGATTGACAATAAACAGCAGCTGCCATGATCTGAAAGGGTTGTCAGTAGACTCCAAGAGAGAAAAGGTGAGGAGGACAAGCTCCTTTAAGCAGGAGTATCTGAACTCAGGAATGGCCAGACTTCAGTGGGCTTCTTTATCTTTCCCCAGTTGGGTAGTGGGTGTGACTTTTCGTATTCTTTAGCATTCTTAAATGAGGAGCTGCATCTGCAAAATTATCTCTTGTCACAACTTCTAAAAGTACAGAAAGCCTAATGTTCAAAGGCTGGCCATCTCTCCCCTAACTGTTGCACCATAGTAAAAGAAAAGTGCACTTTCCCCCATTCCTTCCCAAGGTGCATCCTGACATATATATATGGCTGCCTACATTATAAGAAGCTGGTTTTGTATCAGCTTTGACGAATGCACCGGTTGTGACCATTTTTAGATTACTGCTTAGATTACTGCAGTGTGGGCCTGCTCTTGAAGTAGCTTCAGGAACCGGAGCTAGTGTAAGATGGCAGCAGCCAGATTGCTTTCTGACATGTGCTTCCTTGACCATATTAAACCAGTCATGCCTCAGATGCCCTGATTACCGGTTTGTTTCTAGGCATAATTTTGGGTCCTTAATTATAAAGCCCTAAGTGGTTTGGGGCCAAGACATGGGAAAGGCTGGTACCTGCCTGCTAAACTTGCCCAAACTTTAAGATCTGTCCCACAGACTTATGACCCATCACCTCAAGAGAAGCTAGGTCATGGTGACACTCGGATGACAGAAGTCTCCCCCTACTGACATTAGATTGACCCATTTTTCTATTTAATTTTGGGTATGTTGTTGAAATTTTCTTTTTGTGTGGCTTTTAAATGAGTTTTCTATTTATCATTTTGGACCTGCTTTTAAAAGATTGCTTTGCTGTATGTGGTATTTTATGTTTTTTTAATTATTTAAATTGTAAGTTACTTTTAGAGACCTTTTGGGGCCAAAATGCAACTCAGAAATAATTGTATAAATAAATAGAAGAGAAATCTGGGATATCAGTCACTTCACAAAGTGGAATTCTCCCAGTGGGGAAAAACTGTGTTGCATACTTCATTTCTAAAAGCTGAAAGGACATGCTACAGAAAAAAAGCCACATTTTTCCTCCAAGAAGACTTAATGCTGTTCACTTAATGCAAACGCAGCCTGTTGTGAGGATGGGTTTCCGAGACTGTTCACTCATTACAAAGAAAGCAATGTTACTGTGCCTTTTATCACACACACATACAAAATTAAATCAGGAGCTTAGCAAGAGGAGGGTGCGTGCTTCCATGTTTATATGAGCATCTTTCAGCACTATTAGGCAGATGGGACTTTATAGCCAGGCAACAGCATGGTGTGTATATGAGCAAGCAGTTAAAAGGGACAATTAAACAGGAAATAAATGGTCACCCCCACCATTGCTGTCTGTGTGGAGCAGCAACATAACAACTCTGACCCAACAGAATAATTAGCCAAAGCCAGAGGCATGGCAAGAGGGTTTGCTGCCCAAAGGAATAACAAAAGTGCCACTTTTGCAGTAATAGGGTGGCCAGATGTAAAGGACAGTGGTTTGCATAGAATGTAATGTGCTAATGTGTGTATATACATGTGTGCATAAATGTGTGGATATAGAGAGATAGATCAGTAGATGCAAGTTTAGAAGAGATAGTTATAATTTAAGTAGCAGTACAGTATAGCTCACCATAGGATGGAAGACTGTAACCAGAAGACATGTGGGCCTTGCACCGTCTCCTGTCCAGGTGCTGTAGGTGGATGGACGACATCAAGGCCCAGCTCTTCCTTCTGGTAGTTCTTTATCTCGTGGTATCCATATACTGGACGTGGAATGGACAGTCCTTCAAATAGAAGACTGTCCTCTGTAAAAAGGTCACATGGCCACCCAATGACCTCTGTGGTGGCTGCATAAGTGTCATATTGATTTATTTAGCGTGGCTATTCTGCCTAGAGATGAGAAGGCCTGCAAGAAGAAACAGGAAAAGTCACTGGGAAAACAGAAAGACTAAAGGAGAGGGATGTTTTCATCCAAGATATTTTGAAAATTTTGGTGGGTTCCCAAATTTTCCCTTTTTTCCCCTGGTTCCTCCCCACAATCTTCACATCACTAGTTTTGCCACATGGCCTTAGAAGGTGCTCAGGGTGCCTCATGTTATTCTCTAAATATCAGTGTACACACACACACACACACTCACACCCCCTATTAAAAGCTACGAGGCAATAGAGCACCACAGAGCAGAAAAAATAATATTTAGCCAACCAAAAATAACAAGCTGCGTCACCCTCTAAATGCCTGCTGAAATAAAAATAAAAGTGGAACTGGTCCCTGGAAGGTGAGGATAAAGCTGGTCTGGTGGACTTCTGTGGGGGGGGGGGAGGTCCAAAGAGAGGGTGCTCCCGCTAGGAAGACCATCTTCCTCAACTGCACCAGCCAGACCTCGGGCAAGGGGCATGGCCTCCTCCGAGGATCTCGCATGCAAGGAGGCATGCAAGGGAGAAGATGTTCCGTTAAGCAGCCTGGGTCTAGGTCAGGGGTGGGAGCCATTTTTTCTACCAAAGGCCACATTCCTTCAGGGTTATCTGTTTTTTTTTTGGGGGGGGGCATACTGGCAACGGACAGGCTAAAGCCAGAAGTGGGTGGGGCTGTCCCATTTTCTCTTCCCCCCTTCTGTCACCCCCCTTTCTCCCACTGCCTTTCTTTCTAGCTGGCTGCCTGCAGAGGAAAAACTGCTTTTGCTAGCCGTCGGAACTGATCAGCAGCCTCTCCACACCCAGCATTGCTCCAGCTATTTCCCCTCCCCTTGTTCCCACCTTCCTCCCAGGTAGCTGAGCTGATCACTTGCAGGGGGCTTTTTCTCCCCCTACTCTGTCCACCCCTCTTTCCATTCTCTGTCCTTTCCCCGCTGTCTCTCCTCTCACCTCCTGGGCTCCTCCAGTGGAACAATTTAAGGCAAGGGCCGCATGAAACAAAGGGAAGAGCAACATACAGCCTTTGGGGAACAGGTTGCTCTCCTCATTCTGGGACTTCGCCTCCTCTGCCACCAAAATGTATCCAGCTTTCTAAAATCACAGCACTACTTTACTGTGCCTTATAACAAAGGATGCATCCATGCCCGGGCATTTTTCAGCTGTTGCCGCTTCCTAACCTGGTAGGACCTGCCCCCCCACCTGTAAGGATCCAAAAGGAAAAATTGGTGAACCTCCCAAAACCCTTGGCCCAGCAATGCACCTGATCCTTCAGGGAAATGGGACACAGGAAACCCATAACCATGCCAGAGTGATGGTTTATTCTTGATCATTGCTTTCTTCCCATAGCACAGAGGTAGAGAATGTGGCCTGCCAGCCTCTCCCCTCGCCCTCGCCCCCTCCCCCGCCATGTCCACTTTTTTCTGATCAGCTAAACAGTGCAGGGAGGAAAGAGTGGAGCGGGGAAGGAAGATATAAACCTTCCTGCCATATTGCTCAGCTCAGATTACAGCTCAGCAACAGTAAAGAGGAAGATCTCTGGGTTTCTTTGCTGCTGAGTGAGGAAGGGACCGAGGAGCACAGAAGCCAACCCTTTTCCCACTGCTCAGCCGCACAATGTAGTCAGGTGAAAGCCTGCAGGGAGGGGAGATTTAAATGGCACCTTCCCCACAACCTCCCTGCCCATCCTCAATGGCTTCCTGTGCTACTCAACTGGAGAAGTGTGTGGAGGGAGGGGCAGGGAAGGAAGAGAGAGAGCAAGGAGAGAGGAGCACAAGGGATGCCTGCTCGCCGCTCATTCTGATCACCCGCATGTTGGTTACCATCCCACCTGCTTTGGCCTGACCCTTCCTCTTGCTGCCATGCAGACTTCCAACATGTTCCCACATAGGCAATGGGCTGAAAAGGGCTCCACGCCCTGCCCCAGCATCTCTGATGCTGTTGTGAGCCCATCATAGAGGTGCTGCGAAATTTAGAAGAACCAGGAGTCCAGATGGGTTTGTCCACATGAAACTGGGGCGACCCAACAACCAGGGCTCACCCTTCACCCATGAGTGCGAATGAAGGCGAGCATGTGCGGTAAGGTTAGAGTGTTACAGCACTCCAGAAATGGGGCCAGTTTTTAAAGATAAATAAATAGAGGTTTATGGAATACAGGTTCCAGTGTGAAAGCTGCTCATACCGAGGAAGGTGCCTGGGAAGGGTGCAAGCAGAGGGAGAAATAAAGGGTGCATAACGTGTGGATCACTGATCAATGAGACCATTTGGAGAAGATGCGTGCTGCTTGCTCCTGTATAATTTGGGTCCCATACTGTCTCTTTATCACTATATAGGGACTCAAGGCTTTGGTGCTCACATACAGTATTGAACTGAATTCAAACATTCCCAACAGAAGCACTTCGACAACATGTACCAACTCAGTACCATTTGTCTTTGTTTTGGTTCTTTAGTTTTCCAGCAGTCTTTGACCTTTTATTAGACTAGGGCCCATATTTAATCCCAACCTTCTCCATCACATTCACATTTTATTTTGTGTATGGCTGACACACTCTTTTAAAATTGCTTCTCTCCATGTTCTCCTTATATATTCTCGTGTCCTCCATTTTTATATTTGATCCTCTCTTTCTTCCACCTTCTCTTAAAAAACAGCAAATGTGTCACACCAAAGAAAATATTGATTGTGCCTCTGCTGTGTCCCACCTTAGGGAAGCCACTTAAACTTTGTCGGAAAAAAAGAGGAAATGCATCCCCAAAAAAGGATTGGCAATTTACTGACTATAAGGCCTATTGAATGTTATTCCCCCAGTAGGTGCATTTCCAAACACATTTTTTGATTGGAGAACGTGTTACAAAAATGTGGAAGTATGAATTTGATTGAATTACTGAGTTTTAGTCAGCACAGTTGTTCAAAAGTGCAAAATTAGATACATTTGCATAAAATATAAACTAAAAGAATTTCTTTTTCCAGTTCTAAAATTGGTTAAGTAAGGTCAAGGTCCCTTTTTCTCATTCTTTCTCTTGGAACTGGCAGAATTCAAATAAAGGACTGTCTTCTGTAAGGTAGGACACACAAGCCACCCTCCCCTGTAGCCACTCTGCAGTTGACAACCAATGTGCTATATCAGACAAAACTGATCAAGAAGGGGTACAGGTTTGATTTTTCTTAGGTTTCCATATGAAGTCTACAATCCAAAACACATTTACTAGAGAGGAAGCTGGACTGAATTGACATATGCCTGAGTATACATGATCAGGATTGTTCTCTAAAGCCAAGAATATGGCTGCTCCCGGTGACTGACTTGCTCTTATTTCTTTCCTCCTTCCAAAAATAAACCCAACTGGCAGAAAAGAAGAGAGTTTGAACTAGAAGTCTGTAACTACAATATAGTGGTGTGGTAATAACTACAAAGCCATCCAAGGGTGTTGGTGTGTGTGAGATACTTATCCTAGTGTTAACAGAGTTTAGTATAACAAGATGTAGTGAGGCCTTATATAAGCCATTCTGGAAGGAATTAGATGAATTTCTGAAACATGTGCCTCTTCGTGTCTATCAGTGATTACAACTGTGTAGAACTCATCCACTGTGCATGCAAAAGCCACGCCTTCTCCGGCTATAGGTGTTGTATAGTAGGTAGCAGGAATGAGGTATAATTGAGGCACAAGAAAAGTGTAGTCAATCCACGTCAGCAATATTGGGCTAATGGACAAACAGCCTAACCTGCTCTAAGGCAGTTTTGTTCCTGGGGAAGTCTTGCATCTCTGAAATACAGGTATACCCCATCCTCAAGCCACAGCGCAAGCCAAGTGCAGCTTGTTCCCCTACTGCTATAATCAGTTGTGCTGTTTCACTGGGGGATTAGATGCATTCATACAAATTGTGTAATTACCGATGGTCATAAAGGCCATGGTCTCCAGCCCTTGCTGGCCTTCACTTTGGTTGAAAAGAATAACAGTGGAACTGTGCCAGTTTCCCCTTGTTAGCACAGGGATGCTCCAAGAGAAATCATCTACCTTTCCAAACATAGTTTGAGCACTTCAGAATCAAGTTAACTTACGGGCAGTTGTATTGCAGAGTATTTTTGTTTATTCAAAATCTATATGTACCACTGTATGACCTGAAACATTGTACCTCAATGCCAGGACCTAAGCAATGACCATATTTGGGGTTGGGAAGTGATTTTACAACAGGTAAGAGTAGTTTGGCCATTTTTATTTTATTTTGCTTTCCCGTTGATGTCTAGCTTGATCTGCTTGCTTAAGTCAGCTGGGTTTATTAAAAGTTATCCCTTGCCTGTGGACATCCTGATTTCCATTTCCTGAACACTACATTATCTGGATGAGATTAGTAATTGTGTATGTTTCTGTGATGATGCCATGTGCAGAAATTAGTACAAGGGGCATAAAACTCAGCATAATGAGAACCTCAGCTTTCCTAGCTACTAGTCCTTAGGGTTGTGAAGACACACTGCAAAGTTTGTGGGTGATGCCAGGTGAAATGTATATCCTAAGTGCTGCACAGATGAAAATATACTTGAGACATTCCTATTCCTGTACTGAAGCTTGCGTATCATCCCATTACTCATTGATGCATGTCAGCCTTTCCCAATCTGATGTCCTGCAGATGAACTGCAACTATTATGTTGACTGGATATGATGGGAGTTGTAGTCTATCACATCTGAAAAGCAGCAGGTCGAGGAAGGCTAATAGAATTTCTGGATGTTGTGTGTTCTATCCATTTGTGAGAGCCCATCTTCCACTGACTTAGAAACCAAAATAGTATTTGTTACTTTGGTTAAAAATGTATTAGGAAAAATGATTATCTGATAAGATACTATCAGAGTTTCAAAAATAAGATGAGATGAAATAAGGGTCCAAAAAGGTTTTTCATAGCATGGCAACTTCATTGCTTTTTGCACATGCTTTAGAGACAGGTGTATCCACCATCTCTCTGACACACCTGGTAAGTAACTTGAACCCTGAGGAATGATCACCCTAGCATTTTAAAAAGGCATCTCTCAAAGGACAAATTGGGACAGATATTTACCATGGTGGATAGCAATAAGATGACCACCAGCTCAGGGCAGCTGGTGTGTATAGAGATTTCAGGAGCTAAAGGTACCTCTGGGCAGGAATTCCAGGTGTCAGGAGCTGGGTCTTTGTGCCTTCTATAGCTCCTTGCCACACTGTGTGATTATGAGAAGCCAAACACATGAAGTGCCTTTCCTCCCATAGATTTATATGGAGTGGGTAATCTTTTGGGGCCATGGCACATTTGGCAGTTAGATTAACTGTACTGTGGACCCCCACAAATGGCTACCATGGGAGGCATGGCAAAAAAACAACCTGCCGAAAAATAGAGTACAAGGTAGAGGTGGGGTCTGAGCCTCAAGGCACGTTGAAACACAGTTTTCAACACCAAAAGAAATCTTTTTCACAGTGTTGTAGGTGCTGGTAAGAAGATGCGTTGATTTCTTTCTATGTGACAGCACCTGCAGGGGGAGCACTCGGGCACCCCTGGGCACCATGTTACCTTCTCCTGATGTATACAGAGCAGCTTATGCCACAAAATATGAAGTGCCTTGGCATAAATATGGTAGATTCTTCCATGCTAACCTTTTTGTATGAAATTGACATAGTTCACTCAGTTACTCTGAATGAAGCCAGTTCATGGTGCTCCCCAAACGTTTTACAGTTCTGTGCTTTCTTCATGATCGTTTCTAGTTTCAAATAAATGTAATGCAATCCTTCAACATGCAGATTAGTATTGCTGTATTATCTAGCTGGTTGTGTAGGGCTGTTCTGTGACCTGCAATTATTCATAAACAATAAACTTAGGTAGTGTTTCCATTCTTGGAAAGGAAAAAAAGCACAGAATGCATTGGACTTATTGTGCAGGGATTGGCAACTAAGAAAAAAAGAGGGGTGGAGGTATATACCCACAAATACTTTGACAATGGCTTATGTATGTATCATGTGAACAGATGCTGCAGGATGTTAGCAAAGAAAGTAGCTTGTATGCAGAACCAAAATTACAATTCTGCACCCATGGTGTTATGCATAGCGGTAAAGACTCCAATGTGGAAGCACCCTTACAATGGTGCAGGTGTTTGTGAATGAGAGCTTGTACAAGGCTGTCCATCTTCTGCCTCTGAATTACATCATTGTCTTAGGTAGGAGGGATATTACCAGAAAACTTAAGGAAGTGTCCAGACAAGGATTTTCTTGTGCAATTGCACAGCCTCATTTTACAGGAGGTCTTGAAGATGTCATCTTTAATTTGTATCCCTTTAATGTTTTCCCACCACTTCTTTCATCTTTTTTCTTACCAGAAAAAAATCTGATGAGAAAGAAACAATGGAATAGCTATATGATGCCTTTTGATTTTTAGCTCTAGGAAGCCTCTGTATAGGAACACCCTAAGAAAAAGGAAAGGGTAATGGGCTCTGTTTGGGGAACCTGTGAACTCTCACCTTGGTGCGAGTCACACCCCTCTGAGCCCATTAGCTTAGGAAAATCAGTTTTTATTGCATCATTGTCCTGCCACATTCATAGACGTGCAAGGGGGTCCAGATGACATTTTCCACTCATAACTTTCCCATGTTTTCCCACCACTTCCTCCATCTTTTTTTCCTCACCACAGAAAGCCATGGAGAAAAATAAGATGGTACAGCTGCACAATGCCTTCCAATTGTTACTGCCGGGAACCCCTGTCTGGAAGCACCCTAAGATACAGGATTTCAGGGCAAAGTTAAGGGCCATTGTTTTCCTCAGAAATGATTACACCAATTACTGTTTTGCCCTCCCTTGTTATTTGCATGCTTGAAAATTTTGAGCTCATAAGGGCAAGTCAAGCCATGCTGTAGATCACAGCGAGCATTCACCTGTGAATATTTAAAATATTTAAATAGCATAGCTTGGTGTGGATGTGACTTGCTGAAAGTTTTGTCCTTGGCTGATGTTCTGAATAAGATGACCTTTCAGCCCTTTTAGGGTTTTGGCTCAAATATGAGGGAAACTGGTGAATGGACAGGTATGCGTAACCTGCAAGAGGAATGTAAACTTGAGAAGGTGGACAGTGGTTCAGAAAAAAGATGCTGTGAACTATTTCTCCACTTTTAAGGTACATGCAATCAAGTTTGCACCTTTTTAATAAAGTGCTTGCCTTCATACTAAGAAACAAAACAAATAAACAAAACCAGAAGTAAAGCACTGAGATGGACAGGAGCTGAAGTTAGGAGGAGTTGGCACAACTTACTCCTACTAAAACTCCCAGTAATTTTCCAGAATTACCAGCATCTGATTAATGGTAGAAAGTTGGACATAAGGATAACGATGGCAAACCCTTTTTCAGCCGGAGGGCTGAAATTATTTCAGAGGAACTCTTGGTGTCCACATTCCTGTGATGGGCAGGGCTGAAGGCAAAACGAATGCAAGAAATGTGGAGGGGAGGCGTGTCTGGCAAAGTTCTCATTGCCAGACAGAGAGACCAGGAGAAGGGGCATCGCCAGGAGAAGGGGTGGGACTACCTGAGAAACCTTCGAAGGCACGATTCGGTCCCCAGTCCTGGGGTTTCCCATCCCTGCTGTAAAGCAGTTGAGGTGTTTGATCGTACATGCTTGCCAAGAGCCACATTGATCTCAAAAGAGATCAGCCATCTGGTAGGGTTAAGCAGGACCGTGATGCAGCGCTCTGAAAAGTCAGGCCAGAACGAGGAATTCACTTGGCCTACACAGCAGTTGGTGCCTTTCTTGGAACAATTCTTGGTCCAGTACCAGTGCTGCACAAGAGCTTGCTTTGTTTTCCAAGAACCCTGGGCTTCGAATGGGATGGAGGGCTCCTGGCACCACTAAACCGACGGCCCCGTGCAGCACACCTACCTGTTCTCTGCAGTAAGAAAAAAGATGGAAGAAGTGATGGAAAAACACAGGAGGGTCGTGAGAGGAAGGTGGCGACATTCTCAAATATAAAATTCTGAAAATGAGGCAGGGCAATGGCCTAATGCAAGCCTTGTCCAGGAGCATCGTGGCCCAGCAAAGGGGCCATGAGACGGATGCCTCTGGGTATGCCAGTCCCAGGCCAGGCACCTTTTCTGGCATGGACCTGAACCGGTGGGATGTGCCAGATTCTTTTCCAGGGACTGAATTGAACCCCAGTCCCAAAAGCAGTCTGAAACGGCGATTGTTGCGAGGGCTGACAATACTTACAACCCACCTTGCTGAAGGGCCTTAACTCAGTCCTCCAAAGCAGAAGCATTGACATTACAAGGCATTGCGCACCGTTGAAGCAAGCTCAACACAGCACAAAAAGTGCTGCATCTGCTGTTTGTAGACACAGGGAACATAAATTATGATAGGTTATTCGTACCAGTGGAGAGAGGTCTGAGTTTGGATACGTGAATCCTCAAAATTCATCATAGTCTTCCTTACTTCATAGCTTAGAGGATGGTTTAAAGAATGTAAATCTGACATTCCCAAGCTTTCGTGAGCTTCAGCTTGAAGTAAATAGCTGTAATAAGGGCTTCTGTGTGCTCTGTGCCAAAACAAATCATTGTAATTTTCAGTTCAGAATAAATTTAAATGATTATAGATTAATCTACAGTGTAAGCAGCCTAATTCCCACCTGCTTGTGTCCTTATTTTCTATTTGCATGCATTTCCAATAGATCAGTACACAGCCTTAACTTAGTTACTTTGTCATGAGCTGTTCTGACAATGTGTTACTTTTTAAGAAGTAATGTCGTAAAATAGTGAGCAAACTTACAGGTTCTTCAAAACTCTTTGTTAGCCTATAACTCGACAGACTTCCATAACCAGACCATGGCTTCAACATCAGCTACCTTTATCCCTCCTTCCCTTCTCTCTCTCTCTCCCTTTCTGTTTTTTCTTTTGACTTCATGAAAAGTTCTGCTGTGGATTTTGGAGTTTTCTTATGGCCATTGACAACTACCAATGCTTTTTGAATTACATTACTTGAAATAGATCTGTTTGTGCTGCCATTCAGTTCAATAGGACAAGCGCAGGCAATGTTGTTGGTGGATTGTTGGCATCTGAGACATGATGCTAGAAAAATACTTCAAATGCCAGCATCAAATATTTAAACACCTTGAAAAACAAGCACCTGGATTTTTTCTTAGTCAAACTTTAATCAATATTTTCTCCTGTTTTGGGAAACCATCCTCTTTCATCTGCTTGAAACAGAGAAACAGTTGGAGCAGGGAGAAGATTTTTGGCAAAATATAGCCTAGTTCAGATGCTTACCTGGACCAAAAATTCGCACTCCTAATACAACATGTAATGTAGCTGCCCCATTCAGAGAGTTTTATTTGCAGTTTCTCCCTGCTTTTTCTGAAAAGGAAGAGCTGTACAGTTTGGGCTATTTTACAGTCAGACATGTCTGAACTATGCTATTCAGATCTTTTAACCATACATTTCATTTTAAGTGTTTTTTTTCTCCTGAAAACCTGGAAATTATCATTACTTTCTTGCTAATAGCATAGGGTTAATTTACTGGCTGTACAAAATTGAATAAACCATTTTAGATGAAATGTGTCCCCTCTCTGAAGCAATTGTTTGCAACATCATACTCAGACATTACAATAAAAGCCAACTGTACTGTATCTTCATCCTATTTTTAAAACTAACTTAGAGAAACTATTAGGTAGAGGCCTATGAGCAAAATTACTACTGCTATTATGACTCATACTAGACATAACGCAACCACACATTTTGTGCATTATGAAGAATTTCCCCAGCCTACGTAAATGTAGATATCACATTCCCAAATGAGATTGCAAAATATTACTGTCCCAACATCACATTCCTTCAACATTTTGCTTCCTTCCTGGCATGGAGTTCCCCTTTTATCACATCCTTACTTTAGAAGAGTGACTGGTGCTCTGGAATTCCTGTTCCTTTCAGACAGTGCATCCCATCCTTGGTCAAGGCCAGGAGTCCAGTGCACAGAGATGCAAAATGTCCTTTACATCTCCTTTCTGATGGGGCTTTTACTCCCTTCTCTTCATATCTTTCTATGGACAAAATGAGGAGAACCTTCCCCTCCGGTAATGTTATTCATAGGTTCAAAATATTCTTGCTAATGCCTTCTTGCTGATGCATTGTGCCCTTTGTATTAATGATGGTGGAGTCAGTCATTCAGGAGTGTGTTGGTTTTACGCTAGTTATGGTTTCCATATCAAGGATTCTGAGAAGTATACTTTAGTCAGGCTGCTGACAATCCCTACCTACCCCCTACATTACTACAGTTCCCAGCATTCCCCACTGAAAAACATTGGCTATTAAACCAGCTTAAGTCCATCATATAGATGCGACCTTTTGTGTGACATCTGCTTCTCTGTGTTGGTACTGGCCTTTGGGCAAGCCAAGAAGGCAGTGTACATCCCAACTTCATGTCTACCTGAAGTGGTCATTACAGGTAATTCTGCCCCAGATATATTTCTACAAGGCACACTCGGTCACTTCATTTCTGCTTCTTGCTTTTTACCTTTGTGGGTGCTTCCAGACAAACCTTTTAATGGGCAATTTTCCTGCTTCATACATAGAATTGTTGTGGGGGGGGGGGTGTTCCAGATGCCATCATCAACTCCTTGTCATCCTCTTGTATTTTCCCACTGTTTCCCTCATATCCTTTATTACTACAGAAGTACCTGTTAATGAAGAAACAGGTATAAGCCCACAATGTATTTTATTTGTTAATGCTAGGACCCATCCATTGGGAAGTAGCTTGTGTATGTGTGTGCATCACACTCAGCACTCCCATCAGTGTGGACACCCACAGTTCTACTGCCCAAGCATTCACCTGGCACCACCAGAAGAGTTTAGATTTGACTGATACCTGAATGAGCTGCAGGCTCAACTGCCCACGTGCCATGAAGCACACAAACAGACGATGAACACATGAAGCTGTCCAGAGCACTGAATCAAACAATTTGCCCACCTTAAGCCAGTATTGCCTATTCTGACAGGCCCCAGTTCTGGTTCCAAGGTACAGAGGCCAATGTTAACTGTATGCCCTACAACCCTTTATCACTAGAGATACCAGAGACTAAAACGGGGACGTAATGTGTGTATATAAAATGGGATCCACTAGTAAGTGATTGGCCCTTCCTAGTTCTGAAGTCTCGATGAAACGTGCATGTTCAGATCGCAAAAGAATACTGATCAAATGAAAACTAGCAAGTGCATAAAGTAACAACTCCTTGAGATATAGCGAATGACCCCCCACACACTCTTTGAGCAGTTCAATTGTGTTTTCATTGACAATGAAAACACAATTGTTTTCATTGTCAATGAAAACAATGAAACAGCATACACTACCCTAGTCTTACATATGGAAGAAGAATTCACGGTTTAAAAAACACCAGTTCCCCCCATTGCGAGCAGGAAGAAGTTAAAAGATTGCATGGCATCTGTCTGTATATATTCATTCTCCTTGTGTAATTCTGTCACCTCAGGTTCACTAGACTCTTGCCACATTTTTGAGCTTCTCTATGAAAATATGGGAGCGCAAACTTGCCTTTCAAATACAAAACAGGAATACAAAGGATGTTAAGTGGAACATGCTGGTACACTCTTTCTACAGTAGGGAAACTAAGGAATTGTGTGTGTGTTTGGCTGGTGCTGTAGTCCCACTAAGGGACAAACTGAAAGGAAGAGTCATGAGATGTTACACTTCACAAAACCAGGAACACTGTGGTATGGGATGACTTGCTACCGGCCCTGATCCTAATCCCATGCAGGGTCTAGTACTGCACTGGTACCATGGTGTAGTGAAAATCCCACAGCTTGTTTGTGTGTTGAAACTCAGCTACAATGCAAATAATCTATGCTGTGGTACAAGTTGTATGGAACACGGGTGTACAACTTATGTTCAATGCACCTGCAAGATATATACTGAATAAATCCCAAAAGTTGCTTTCATCCAAGGATGTTTAGTGAGTGCACAGCTAAACTAGGATTTGAACCCAGATCCAGACCCAACTTGGTGTCTCCACACTAGCCCTCAAGAACCCTATTTGCATTCCTTTCTGTTAACATGGAGCCCAAACCCTCCCATTTGAGAAAGAAGAAAAGTCTTTAAAGGTAGTCTCAAGCACAAAAAGGCAAAAAGGATTGAATTAACCAGGAAATATTTCCTTTAAAAATAGTTGGAGTGTGTGTGTGGGGGGGGGGGGAGCGTAGGATGCATCTCTGTGCATTGAAGCAGCCTGCTGAGTTCCCCACATAGGAGCCCCTTCTGACTGCAAAATCAGGCATGTAGGAAGTAGCAAGTAGGAGCTTGGTGGGCCCTTCATGCCACAGTAGGTCTTATAGTCTCTGCCACTCCAGTTTCCTACAACTGCCATGTAGAAAGATGAGGGATTGGTTTGGAGAAGTGCATGGCTTGCCATGAAGTTAAAGTACTCTTCAGTAAGCACATTTGAGACCACTGTTTTATTTTAATCACTTATACTCCATTTAAGATACACATCCTTCCAAGAGGGTTTATAAGTAACAGCAACATGTATTGGTTAAATCTCAATAAGTGTTACCGGTAGATAAAGTAATTAGGAATCTTAGCAAAGGGTCTTTTCCACCTGTCACCCTCTGCTGGAATCCTCCCTCTACCCATGTATGTGCCCCAGTAAAACACAGGTAACACCCAGCAGTGTTGTGACTCACAACTGCACTGTGACCTGACCTCATCCCAGTGGTGCTCAGGACTGGCTCCAGAGCAAGGTATGCTTGGGCAAAGTGAGAGCTCCATCCCAGCAGGGACCACAGTCCAACAATTCTGTGGAGCATCCAGAAAGATGAGGCAGCGTAAACGCCATAATGTGTCATGTGAGAAAGAAACACTTCATCCTCTCGCATAACATTCCAATTCAGGGTCAGCCATTGACACTGATTGGTAGAAGATTCAGGATAGTTATTTTTTAAAGCATTTTTTAAAATTTAGCACAGAACATTGAATTGATTATGGGAGTTGTTGCCAGCAGATGTGATGATGGCCACAGGCATAGGTAGCCTTTGGAGGGGATTAGACATATCTGTGGAGGAAGGCAGATCTATTCACAACTTTTAGTCTCCATGTTCTGAGACAATGTGACTTTGAATCACAGTTGCTCAGAAGTAGGCAGCACAGCAGGATCACTCGCTTCATGCCCTACTTGTGGCCTTCCCTGAGGCTTCCAGTTAGCCACTGTCAGAAACAGGGTACCGGACGTGATAGTCTCTTGGCTTGATTCTGCAGAGGTCTTTGTGAAATAATTTTTGGCATGCACATCTTTCATCTTCTGGGCTAAGGAGGCTCAGATAGTGTGCCCTTTTTGAGTTCCCTTAAACTCCTAGAGCTGGCAGTGGTGACATTATTACCGTGCTTTAAGCTTTTTTCTTTTCTTTTCCACAGTTGTCAGTAAAAGCAGCAGGAGTGTAAAGGGGGAGAACAGTGCAGCACGGAGGAGCTGGGCAAGGGGCAGAGAAATATAAAATGGCTGCCACCGGGCACTTACGCATCAGCTGGTGCGAAAATTCTGGCTGGGCTTCATGGGAAGGAAAGCAGGAGAAAGTCAGAGAGAGAATAAAGGAGAACTGTAACAAAGAGGGAGAAGGTTAAAGTGGGATCCTTCTCAGTGCCTGGGGTTAAAAATGCCACTCGGGTTTTGAAGGCTGCAGACCATGGCTGTCCGCACCCCCTGGCAGAACAGAGAAAACGGACCCGGAAATTCTGTTGCACACCGGTCGTAGGGACAAAGCAAATAAGCTGGAAAGATTGGCGCTGCTTGGCTGAGGCTGTGTTCAAAGATAATAGGCAATAGGCGATCGCTCTGACTCGATGTGGGGTTAGTTACTCCAGGTTAGCCTGGGGTATCTCTACTCAGAGGCAAGAAGGCTCCCGTGAATCTGAGCAGAGTCGGGTGGGGTGGGAGGAGAGAGTTAACCACTGCTGTTGGATCATGGCCCAGAGCTCCGTGTTTTTTTTCTTTTTTTCCCATCGTCCCTCTCTGCTGTCTCCCGCCCTCCCTCCTCTCTCTCTCTCTCTTTCTCTCTCTCTCTCTCTCTCTATCTTCCCCCCTTCGCTGGCACTGAGCATTCACTCACTCTTTCAGCAAAGCACCCCACCTCCCTCCTAGCTACCCTCTGCCATTATGCCCCACTCCCTCTGTTGTCTCTTTCCCCACCATGCAGCAAGCCTCGGGCAGGAGCTGCCCCTGCTTGGCACAGCCTGGCAGCGCTCCCGGCCTGTCGGCCCTCTCGCCCTCTGTGCCAACCAACCCCCTCCATTTTCTTTCTCCCTCGCTTCCTAACCTGCACTCTCTCGCTTTTGTGCCCCCGACCCAGGGCATCTTCCCGCTTGAACCCTGAAGATCGCGCGTCCCTGAAGATGAACCTGTCCCGAGCAGGGTGAGGCGTCATGCTAAAGGCTTTTCTTTCTGTTTTTCCTGCCAGTTTTGCAAAAGTTTTGTTTCAGGCTAGCAGCAGTGCTGTGGGCTGAGATCTAAGGGCATCCCTGGAGCTGGATAATGGAGCTGAGATAAAGAAGGGCTTTCATTTGGGACTGAGAGGAGACCAGGATGGGATAATGGCAGAGTTCCATCTGGGGAAGGGGGGTGTTCCCAAGACAAGAAGGCGAAAGAGCCGGAGCTGGAGTTCCATTGGTTATCTACGCTGTGGTGGAGCCCAGGTAGAAGTAGGTGGCAGGTGGGCAGAGTTGCTCTGCCTTCTCTCTCATTAGCCCAAGTGGAAAAGAGAGAGACAATAGATGAGCCCAAATCAGTAGACCATGTTATGCAGACACCGTGTACGTAATGGCGGATGAGCAGTCAGAGTGGATCCTGTCTCCTGCCTCTTCCCTTAATCCAGGCGTGTCAAGGCGTCTTTTGCCTTAGCCTTGCTGGTGCCTAGAGACCCCCAGAGCTGTGGCCTGCTTCTCTGTTGCCCCCCTAGTGTGCCCCCTGGCATGTGGCTTCTGGTCCCACACCCTTTGGGGATCTCTCAGCCCTCCTGGATTCATATCAGCAGATACAAGGATGCAGAACTGAAGCCTCCTTTCACTATGCCTAAAATTCTGGGGCTGCTGCCCCTCCACCCCAAAGGTTAGGCTAGGCTCCCCCCAGGCTCATTGTAAGATTCTTTGGCCGCAGCGCAGTTGTGTAACAGGACTGAAGGCCTTTCAGGAATTCCCCCATCAGCCTCTGGGTGGAAGATCGCCGCAGAATGAGGGAAGGAGCGGGGGCGCCTGTAGCCCGGTGTTCCCAGGGAATCTGATCTAGCTTGGCTGTCGGGCTCCGGAGCAAAACGCGACAGTGGCGTGTAGGGAGGACACAGACCTTCAGCGCTTATCCAGACCCTTCCATCCATGTTCCTGTACTTCGTTCTCTGCTTCTTGGTGTGTCTGCATCTTAGTCTCAGTCTCTCTCTCTTTCATTCTCTCTCTCTCTCTCTCTCTCTCTCTCTGTGTGCATGCATTTTTTGTTTTTTGTTTGTTTTAAACCAGCATGGGGGCAAAAGAACAAGGGTTATTTGAAGGGGAAAAGTAGGGTTGGAACAATGTGTGTGAGAGGAGAACAGAAAGAATTACACTTGAGGCACACTGCTTAAGTTAAGTGGGGAAGACTAAAAGAGGGCTGTGGGGGAAACTGCAGTGGGTCAGCGCTTGGGAAGGGAAGGGAAGGGAAGGGAAGGAGGGAGACTTGCAGCATTGATGAAAGCTGTATGCGCAGCACTAAGAAGGGGGCTGGCGGGTGCCATGGGCGATGGATCGGCACAGGGAGGGTGGATTGGCACAATGCCAAGGCCTAGGCGGCCGTTGCTAGGAAACCCAGGTTCCCTTGGCAGCCAGACCGCCGTTTCACTTTCATTAAAGGGTGAGGAAGACGGAGACGGAGAAAAAATGGGGAGGGGGACCAGGTCAGGAGGAGCTATGAGAAGGGGTGGTGGCAGAGCTGGGTCAAACAGGACAGGTGTGAAGCACCAGAGCTGGGCTGGGAGGTCCACTGGAGGGCGTGGAGTGATTCCCGCCCCCCACTCGCCACAAATGGCATGGGAGCAAAATCCCCCCCCCCCCCAGCATCAGTTTTCATGAGGAGGGGAATGCCATGTTTCACGTCTTCAATTCACAGAAAGGTGGAACTGCAAGAAGAAGCTGGAAAGAGCTGTCTGTGTGGTATTGGAGGGCGGGGGTCGTCTGTGAAAGGGGGAAAGCACTCGCAGGACCTTCATTTTCAGGATGCACTTTCAGGGGAAGCACGCAAGGGCCCATGTCCATCCCTAAGTGTTTTATAAGGGCCTCCATAAGAAAGCTGCGGCACTTGGCTCCCCCGTGGCCTCCCAGTTTGCTTAACATCGCCCCTGCTGGGGCTGTAAGGTGTGGGGCCCAAAGCCTGGGCTCCTTTTCTTGCCCACATCCAAACAGGGCACTCTTGGAAGCCTTTGCCTCAGTCGGCACCCCTCTGATGTAGTTAGCAAGCATAGTTTTACTTGGATTGAGCTGTTGTGGGAGACGGGCAGTTTTCGGGTTGGGGGACGCCCCTGCGCATCTCATTTGGTATGGGGACAGGCATGGAGTGGTCTGGACTCCAATCAGAAATAGCTCTGTTTGAGAAGTGGTGGGTTGTGTGTGGGGGGAGCCATGCCGGGGTCTGGCACTGAGGAATAGGTCTGGGGGCGCTCTGGTCAGCAGGCGGGCACTCCAGCAGTGGCCGGCAGTTGTGGGACTGGAGGAGATTTGCTGGAATAAATGTTGGCGCTTTAGGCACTGGAAGAAAGGAAAGGAAGACAGCGAGGAGGGTGGGGAGGAGGGCTTCTTGGGGCTGGCACGTAAAGGGCTGGCACCGAAAGTGGCAGGTAATGCAGCAGGGCGAGTCGTCATTGCCCCCGCCCCTGGCATTCTGAGGCCAGGTTGGCCAACAGAGAAGCACTTGCAGGCAGGTGGGGGGGCGGAAAGCTGGCTGCCTGGCACTCAGGGGGCCAGCCTGCTGGCAGGCAAGTTGGCATAGCGTACCGCAATACAGCGTGATGTGAATTCATTAGAGGCCAGAGTGAGAAAGCGAGACGGGGAAGGAAGGGAAGTGGCGCGGGGGGGAAGGGAGACGGGCACTGACCCAAAGGCCAGACAATGGCAGCAGGTAACCATGGTGATGCGCCCGGCTGTGCCAGCCTATAGCGGCTGGAGTGGGGAGAGAGTTATCCAGACAACCCCTGGGGAATCGCCTGCCCACAGCGGTGTGGGGTGCGGGGGGCGGGGGTCACTCTTCTTCATTCTTTCCTCCCGCCTGTTATTCATCAACGCGAAGCCGATGCCAACACGCCTCCCTCCTTGTCTGCCCCCTTCACTCCCATGGTCCATTCCTGCCTCCTTGGCGAACGCTCCATCCTTGTCACACCGCTGGCGAACCGTTCCCTTCCTGGCTGGGTGGCTGCCTGGCTCATCCATATTCTTACTGCCCACTCTCTTCATGGCGCCCCTTTTCTTTCCAGCCAGCCTCAGCCCGGCAACCATCTCCTCTGCAGCCCCAGACCCTCCTGTGTCGGTGGTGGCGCCCGAGGGGGGGCAGGGAGGTGGCACTGTGCCCAGATCGCAGTATTCCTTTCCGCCTGCACGTCCCTATCTTTCTTCCCCATTGTCTGTCCCCGTCTTTTGCTTCTCTCCTCTCTCATTCTCCCTCCACACTCCCCCTGCCTTGTCCGCCACACCGGCTGCCTGCTTCTCCCACCTCACCGCGTTTGACCCGCTCCGTCATTTTCCTCTCCCTTCTCGCACAGAGTGTCTTGGCACAAGATGCCCAACTATGAGACGTTCTGTAGCTCATTCTTCTCTGCCCCCCCATTCCAGCACAGTGACTCAGGGCTTGAAGCCCTGCTGCCTTTTCTGTAGGTTCACCATCCTAACGTGGTTCTCCATTAAGCATCCCCCTGATTAAAAGTGTAAGTTGTGAGAAAGGAAACAAAAGATACGCCTGGGATCTGTTTTCTTCCCTTCCTGTCTCTTGCTTTTGTGGACCCACCTCCTCCTCAGGTTCTCTTCATCCCTTTCTGTATTTCTGTGACTGGCTTTTCATCCCCTTTCCTCCTGCAGCAACAGTGGCTTGTGGCAGAAGGAAAGGACTTCTGCTATTAGGTTCTGGGGCTGCCCTTGGTGGAAGTAGTTTTCACTGCACTGGGGAAGCAAGGGCAGTGCCGAAAGTAGGGGATGCAGGTTTCACTGCAAGAGGCGAAGTTGGCTGTGCATGCAGACGTCATGAAAGCAACTTAAATCCTGTAACACCCATGTGGCACTTCAGTGCTGATATAGCCTCTTCCACATGTCTTCCTCTGCAGGAGTTGTTCCAAAAGCAGCCCCAAGGAAGAAATCCTTACCTTAGAATGCAACCCAGATCATAGCATACAAAAGCTTCCCCCCCCCAGCCAAAATTACTTGAAATTTGTTGGGTTTGTTTGGGGAAGACAGCTACATAAGTGTTCATGTAGGGAGCAGCTGGTGGCAACCTAATGATCTCTGGAACTACCCTGAGAATTCTTCTCCAAAATCTGTAAAATTTGTTCAGATTTCCTTAAACAACATCAGGAGTAGCTCCTGGAGAAGAACTTATTTTACACTTCAGGCTGAAATTCCTGTGCAATTCAGAAGGGGCATCCATACTTCAGGGCATATATCCTGTAATACTCTTGAGGTATAAGCTGTCCTCAGACTGTGGCATTCTCATAGGAAAAATGCCCAGTTTGCATCAAAAAAATTTCCAAAGCTGTATACTCTTGTGCAGGAGACCTGCTTTCTCTCAGAGTTT